TGTCAGTCACTCTTCTCGAAAAGTTAAACTGGATAGGAAAATCCTTTAAACCTTTGCACTCACGGGAATGATCAAAACGAAAATTCTCAGCAGTATTCAGAAATTTACAAGCAGAAAGGTGATTAGAAAAGGGAGTAATATTTCTGAATTTAGCTGTACAAAGCAGCAAATTGCAACTCCATCTTAATTATCGAGATAACGCACACCTTCGGAGATTACCGAGGTAAGGTAATGCCACTCGAAAACGTTTGCAAAGTTCATTGAATTTCTTTCCGTGGAAATAATTCAGTTCTTCACTTCATCTTCATAATTAAAATAATAAAACACTTTTAGCATGGAATCGTCGGTCAGGCGTGCGAAATTTTCCTGTACGAGTGTGGTCGAATTTTGTCACCTGCAGCCGTACGTGTAAGTTGGCAAACGGGGCCATTTAATCAAGAAGTTGACGTTGACTGTTCCTCATTTAGGCGCCGAAACAGAAGCTTATTCCGACAAGTGTGCGTTAAAAATAAATGATTCCATAATTTTTATTTCTCAAAAAGAAAAACTTTAAAAAAAAGAGAAATCACTTCGCCCCTAGAAACAGAATAAGAAACACATTGAAACACTTTAGAGGCTACACTTAGGGTGCAGAGGGTGAGGGCTCACTAGGTGACTGATCCCTCCCCTAGGTCTCGTTTTATGTATGATTAGCGATGTGACGTGTCAACCGCACCCAGTTCTCAACTTAGTCAGCTAGATATGGATGTTCAACAGCTGTTTAGAAGCCTCAAGAAGGAAGCCGAGTGTCCATTGTGTTTAGAAACAGTCAAAGATCCCAAGACACTGCCATGTCTTCACTCATTTTGTATGCGGTGTATTGACAAACACGCAGGATATGCAAAAAGAAAGTTAGAAACGACGATCAAATGTCCAGTTTGTCAGGCTTGCTTTCAGATCCCTGACGGAGACACGTTTGGTAATCTTCCCACATCTTTTCATCTCAACCGACTGGTGGATCTCCTCGCTCTGAGAGATGGCAGCGAAGAGACTCAGAGATGCAACAGTTGTGAAGAAAACAACACGGCAACCTGCTATTGCTTTGTTTGCCAGAACTTTCTTTGCAAGGATTGTTTTGACGCTCATCAGCGCCTGAAGGCCACAAGAGGTCATCGCAGTGTTTTGATCGATAATTTGCAAGCGCAAGATGTGGAGGACTTGATGCACAGACCCACCATGTGTGCAAAGAAATATCACGAGAATGAACCGCTTGATTATTATTGTCAAGACTGTAGCGTTTGTATTTGCCACAAGTGCAGTATATTGAGTCATAATCGACATTCTTTAGTAGACTTACAGGAGGCTGCCGAAGAACAAAAGATGCAGATGACGCAAGTCTTTGCTAGAGTTAAGGAAAAACTTGTTATCGTGGAGTCAAAGATATCGGAGCAAACTGAACTCATGAATAAAAGCGAAGAAGAAATCTGCGCCGCTGAAGAGAAGGTTACGAAATTTGTGCAAGAAATTATTCGAGTTGCGAAGGAACATGAAACGGCTGTAAAAA